AGGTCTATCCTACTCGTCAGCAGTTATGTGCACATCTTAAAGAAAAATAAGAATTTTAAAAAAAAGACACAAAACTGTTCTGTTTTCATTGCATTATGCAGATGAGATGACAAGTTGTCATTTAAGAAGTTAATAAACAGTCACCATTTTGCAGGTTATCCAAATGCTACTGAATAGAAAAACCTTGGATCCCTAAATGATGTGTAATTAAAATTATTTAAAAAATCCTCCTTGACAGGCCAGGGCTTAGCCAAAATGTAAATGACATTAAAGAAGACAATGAATTTAATTTTATTTAATGTCCCTTTTTGCAGATCCTCATTTACATAGCATTTTTAACAAAAGCGTTGACCTTATAAATGCTGGCATTTGTACAGCTTCTGCAGAGTTGGATTTAATCATGCTTTCGCAAAGCCATAAGGGAAAAAGCTTTAAGTTCTCTGGTTGGATATGGAGTAGGAATAAAAACATTGGGACTGGTCAAATGTTTATCCTCCTTGCTTCTGAAAACAACCTGACAAGAAGATGTAAAGGTCTAGGGAATAACCCATTGCTGTTTGTAAGGCTTGGTAATAATCATACATAATCGTTTGGAAATATAGCTAATAAAAAATATAATGAGTGTTCAGCAAAATCGGCATTAGGCCCAAATTACATGATATTAATACTTGAACAGGTGCAGAAAGGCGCTTTAAATGAGGTAAATGAATAAAATGTCCCAGAGCACAACTGTGTGCACTGACAAAAAGTCAATCACATGAATAATTCAGTGACTAGGACTGCCAGCAAAGGTCAGCTTTCTTTGACCTTTGTGACATAAAAGGAAACACGTTTTACTAAAAAAAAAAAAAAAAAAAAAAGACTCCAATCAGTCTTCAGCTACCCTTCTACAATTACTTTAAAGGTGTAAACTTGTAGTTTAAATGAATTAAAGCTCTTTACTAGGAATCCAATGTAAAGAACCCTAGTGTGAACAGTCAACTCATTTACTGAAAATAATATGAGATTACAGACAGTGAAAGGTTAAGGGGGGTGTCTACAAGCAATGTCAATTATGTATAAAATCTGAGGTCAGCTGAAAAGTATTTTAAGAGCCTACAGGATTGAAATTTTGTAACAGCTGTTAAATATGACAAAACTTTTTATTCCCCAAAACTAAAGCTATTCCAAACTCTGTATGAAAGAAATGGGATAAACAGATGTCTGGCTTCTATACAGGAAAGTAGGACACACTTGGAATGATAAGTCTCCTAAACTCTATAGAATAATGCCAGATTTATTGGGGAGGGGGGTATTTACTACCCACAGAGATGCCAACTAGCAGTATGACTGTGATAGTACCATCTGGAAAAACGTTGCAGAGCATGCTATCAGTAATACATTGCAAGCACATTCAGAGCGCGCAAGCAGACTTGCCATTGCTTTACTAGTGAGCTGCCACTTAATGTTTTGATAGTAATGTAATCCTGCCTTCCCGTGTTCTTCCACAATCAGTCTTTTCAGTTTTCAACAGTTGGACACTGAGCCTTCATATACATTCAAGCCAAACAAGGAAAGGAAAAGTCAAGAGGATGTATCTTACCAGGAATTTCCATACCTTCTAATAAAATATACTATGATGGCACTGAAGAATTATTTTAGCACACAGTGTGGTTTTGGTTTAGCAGTTACAGCGGCATCCTGTAATCATTTACAGCCATTGGAATGTATGGGTGAAATAGGATAGATTTATCTGTTCATAGTTGTGATATGTAGACAATGGGTGTTCCTAATGAGGAACATCTGCTTTTGTGTTTTCCCAGAAAACATTATTCCACTATGAAAATGATACTCCCATCCTTTTCAGCAACACCGCAAAGAAAATATGGGCCTTTTCCTTTCTTTTATTTGCTTTTCTTTGGGTCAATCTAATTTCCCAGGGACACTTTTTCTGTGGCATCTTTTTACTGACTACACTACAATTTATGGCGGGTTTCTTCTTTACTATGTGAGTTACTATGTTGTATGAACAGCACTGATATGCCAGAATATATTTAAATGTATACTGTAATAAAAATGTATATCCTCAGCCATGCTTCATGAGAAAAATCAAGTTGATGTAAGTAAATATTCTCAGTGAATTAAAAGGTCGGGAACATATATGCAACATATATGCAACATATAAAACTGTTTTCAAGGCCTTTAATTTTGTTTTTATACGACTAAAATCTGCTGCAGGATTCAAATGTATAATTATATACGTTTATTTCCAATATTTTAAACATCAACAAATTAGTATTCCCGAAGTGTTCAAGTTTTTTTGTTTTCTTTTCTTCTAGCGTGATAAACAATTCAGATTATCACAGAGACTCTCAGTATGGGCTAGAACAAATGGGTGGCCATAGATCTCAATTCAGGATTGAATTATTGGTTCGTATCCTGAGGACAAATACGCCTTATCTGGTCAAAAGCTGCTAAGTGTATCCAAAGGACAAAAGAATCTGGTGAAACATATTGTATATAATTTTTTTTAAGCCAACTAGCCAAGCAATAACACTTCTTATGGGCAACTGTAAATTGACCCACAAATTTGATGGGGGGAATTTGGTTCTGTGATGCTCCGGAGGAAACACAAACCAGAAATTCAGCACCAACAACAAATTTAGGTAACACACTGTTAACACATGGATCAAGCAAACATAGACTATTATTAGGAATTTAAAACACATTTCAATTGTTTCAAAAGACCATCAGTCTTACAGGGGTTTTTCCACATATGTACCCTCCTTTTCTATTTGCTGCAATTTGCTTGCAGTGAACATTACATTCAATAGCTCTTCAAAAACACATCTTAAGATGAAGAGTATCATACCGAACTCCTTCCTAAAGCATACGCAGTATGTAAGAGAATTCTAATAGTATTTTGACATTATAAGCGACAACTCTCTTTAGCAGGCTAAAATAGGTCCCATTCTCATAAATGCAAAATCTTGAAAATTCCTAATGTAGATGGTGATTAAAATTCCTATAAAATTGTCATATCTTTAAATTTAGAAGCACAGCAGATTTTTCATCAATAATTAAGATCTCTAAAGCATTTATGCTAGGCATAAATGGAGTTTCAATCTTCCTTATTCAAATAAACATGATAAACCCATTAACCAAATGTTTTCTGATTTTTTATATCTTCTCATGCTTCTAGAATATCAAATCATAACATACTTCCGATAGTTTTGAGAAGGTATAAAAGCACTGATCCTGTATAGCTTATTTCAATTTTGGTGGGATCACCCTTCGTAGAACTAATATAATTTGACTCGCAGTGAGTCAAGTACATTATTAGTTATGTATCATTATAATCCCTAAATATTGCAAAAATGTTATTTGTATTGCATTTCATTGTGCGCATGGACTATAAACACAAACTACTTGTAAATTTTTCAGTGTATATTCAATAGGCAAGAAATGCTCACTCTGACCGTATCTCTAAATTAAAGTCTGACTGAGTACATAACAGCAAAATATTTTTCTAAGTTTCATTTCCAGTAAATTTTATAGTGTTCTGTAGCGTTCACACTTTAATGCAATTCACCATTTACATTTGTAAACATCACACATATCTTGCAAACTCTTAACAATGAACATGCCCATAATCCAATAATAGAAACTATAACATGCTATCTTTCATTTACTATTCAGCCAAGATTCCTCCACTTCCAAATGTTTTTAGCCAATAAAGCAGAAATAAATTCAGCTCACAAGGCAACAATCCACTGCTATATGATTTCCATAGCTAAAACACTAAAGACAAATATAATTATATTGATTTTTGTACTTCGAGTTCTATAAAGTGTTGAACTTGTTCTCAATTGCCTGACACAATCCCAGAGTGATGGCAACAACTGGTCAGCCCTATTTGATTACTAATAAGAGAGATGTCCCTTCTGTCAGATACCTAACATTCTCCACTAAGCAAACAGCTATTTCAGCTAGTTAAACATTAGCATTGCTCTCCACTGGTGGTGCATATTTCTTTAGGCTTAACTCATGGAGTTTTCCAGGTTTAATTTTTCAGTCACTGGACA